TGGGGACACATTGGGGACACATTGGAGATGCATTGGAGACGCATTGGAGACGCGTTGGGGACACATTGGAGACGCATTGGAGACGCATTGGAGACGCGTTGGGGACACATTGGAGACGCGTTGGGGACACATTGGAGACGCATTGGAGACGCATTGGGGACGCGTTGGGGACACATTGGAGACGCGTTGGGGACACCTTGGGGACACATTGGAGATGCATTGGAGACGCATTGGGGACACATTGGAGATGCATTGGAGACGCATTGGAGACGCATTGGAGACGCAATGGAGACGCATTTGGGACACACTGGGGAAGCTTTGGAGACTCCACTGTAAATCAACATAACTAAATGTCCTCAAACTGACTAGGAAACCATTTGTGAAACCAAACCTGGAACTGAAGAAACGTCACAAACAAAGAATTAAAATTAAGTCCCATTTTACCAGAAACAATTCTGTGACTTTCATCTTTACTTCTAACTGTACAAAAACCTTTCAATAATAGCAATAATAATAATAATAATAGTAATAATAATAATAATGCAGCTCATGCACTCGGGCAGCATGCAGTCTGCAGGAAAGTTTTGGGTTTTAAAGCTAAAACTAAGAAGTTCTGCTGAACTGGATTTGGTGTAAAACTCTGATTACTGTGATATTCTGACATTGAGACAGAAATAAAAGGAATTAAGAGATTAAATTCTGAAACATTTTCTAATAAAGACAATTTCACAACTAAAAACACTGAACTACCCACTGAGGTTTGTTCCAGCAGCTAAAGATTCGTGCTAATCTACAGACGTCCAGCAGAACCACAGCAAACCGTCAGACACACAGCAGAGACAGATACTAACTTGGGAGGAGCGGGGCAGAAAACCTTGGAGACAAACAGACGACAGAAACAGAAGAAGAAGAAACATCATCAGAGGCTGAATAAAGGCCTTCACATGAAGAAGAAATGAAGATCAGCTGTCAGGAACATCATCCTGACAGCAGGAGGACCTTCAGGTGCTCCTCCAAACGGGCCGGTACCACCTTTACCCTGGTTCCAGAACCAGGGTAAACTGCTTCTCGTTGTGTTTAAACCGGAGCAGCTCCAGACCTCCGGCCCGTTCAGACTCTGGCTGCTGCTGAACCTGACTTCAGGTTTGGTTTCTTCTGGATTAAATGCTGAGCATGTTTTGGTTTAATCCCTCTCTAAGTCAACCATCGTCTATAATTTCAGTCCTGAACCCTAGCGGTGCGTGTTGGGGTGGGGTCGGGTTACCCCTGACCTTTAGAGACGCCCTCGATCCGACAGGTGTCCGGCCTCTGCGTTGGCACGGTAACCAAACCCAGCTGAAGAATCGCTGCAGGAACGCCGCTCTGGATTAACTGACCTCTGCGCTTCAGCTAAACGTTTCATCTCTAAATGTTCTGATCAGGTTTGGTTCCTCCTCCCAGGGGTTAAAGGTCAGCAGCGTTAGTGGCTTTCTCTCTACGTACCCCGCCTGCATGGCCGCCATCTCCCTCAGAGTCTCCTCTGAGTACAGGCCGATGGGGGAGTTATACTGCCCCCGGTGGCGGGGGCTGGGTGCGGCGCCGCTCCTTCCTGGAGAGCCGGCCGCCGCAGGCTGGGGCGGCGCCGCCGCCGCGCGGCCGTTTACCTGAGGCGGCGGGCGGAGGGGAGACATGAGGAACAGTAGGACTTTTCCAGTTTAAAACTAAAATCACACTTTGTTAAAAAATATAAATCTGGACCATATTTAACAATTTGGTTGGTATATTTTATCTTCAAACTATCAGATTTGAGGATTTTTGGTACAAAAGAAATAAAAACTGCAACTAAAATCATTTCCAACGATTTAACGGTGAAGGTTTTATTCTAACCCAAAACATTTCCATCCATCCGTTTCCCTGCTGATGGTCCGGTGGACCCGGTTCTACTGGAACCAGAACATCTGCTCCAGTTCCAGCTGCTGGTTCTCTGTCTCTCTGAGTCAAACCAACCTGTTCCCCTCCTGGCCTGTGGGGGCGCTGCACCAACAACCACTGAAGGAAACGACACAAAAACCTCTGAAGACACTGAGAGCAACTTCCTTCTTCACCAGATGGAAACAAGATGGAGGCGTCAGGTTTGGAGGATTTCTCTTTAGGCTAAAGACCAGGAGCCATTTCTGCTGCTAGCGCTAGGCTAACATGTTAGCTTTGGTTGTATTTACCCAGAATGCCCTGCACTGCTGGGAGTGATTCATCTGACTCTACATTGTTGCTTTAATGTAAATCTATGAGTTTTCTATTGTTTGATTATTGGTGCTGCAGACAGACTGATAATCCAGCAGTAGGAATAAATCAACTGTCTCCGTTCATTTCATTTTTAATAAATGTCAAAACATCAGAGTATTGTGAAAAAGTTTAATATTTCTCACCAGTCATCTCAGGAAGTGAAAAACATTTTAATTAGATTAATCTCACAGAGACTGAAATATTTTAAGCCTTTATATGTTTTGCAGTTTTATTGGATTATGGCTTCAGGTAAAGAAAACCCAAAATTCATTTTCTCAGAAAATCAGAATATCAGATCAGACCGATGAGAAACGGATGTTTAAAGAACAAATGTGACGTTTCTGTAAAGTACGAACACCTCTATGCTCCTCAGGTAATCTCCATGGCAACCAGTCAGCTGCAGCCATAATCATTACATCACTCTGTGCGATGGTTCACCTTGAGATGCCTGGTGAGACGTTTCCCCTTTATGCAACTTTCTAAGAGTTTGACATGCTCTGCTCGAAGTGGTTTAAAAGCCATTTGCAGCAGTTCCTTGTGTCACCACTGGAGGCAGCAAAGAGTTTCTGAACCAGAGCAGCTGATGCTTCAGTGAAGTCAGGGGGCGGAGCTACCTGCTGGTGAGGGATCATGGGAATCACGGCGTCCATTCTGGGCGGCGCCATGGGAACGGGACGCTTCGACCTGCAGAGGAAAAAACATGAGAGCACTGCTGGTTCTGCAGGTGAGGTGACCTCAGGTGACCTCTGGTCCTCACTTGGTCATGGTGAGCGTCAGGCTGTGGTGCGCCATCTTGATCTTGTTCTGGGCCTCCAGGTGGGTCATCCCCTCGGTGCTGACGCCGTCGATGGCCACGATGACGTCGCCCTGGATCAGGTTCCCCTGCGCCGCCTTGGTGCCCGGTGAGATCTGTCCCAACAGAAAGAACCGGGCCAGAACACGGAGAACGGGTCAGCGCCACGGAGGATTACCGCCGGCGTTCCAAGAAACAATCAGTGGAATGAGAACAGATCGATTTATCACCCATTCACTCAGATTACTGTAATCTGGGGACAAATAATCTCGCTGGGAGACAGAACCGGGTCAGAGTGGGCTGAGAGGGGAGAACCGGACCAGAACCTTCCAGGTGAACATGACCTGTCAGAAGTCACCTTTAACCTCCAGCATGAGGTCATCATGTGGAAACCTCCAGAACCTTTCAGAACCTCTCAGTCCCTCCAGAATCTTTCAGAACCCCTCAGAACCCCTCTGACCCTCCAGAACCTTTCAGAACCTCTCAGTCCCTCCAGAATCTTTCAGAACCCCTCTGACCCTCCAGAACCTCTCAGAACCCCTCTGACCCTCCAGAACCTCTCAGAACCCCTCTGACCCTCCAGAACCTTTCAGAACCTCTCAGTCCCTCCAGAATCTTTCAGAACCCCTCTGACCCTCCAGAACCTCTCTGACCCTCCAGAACCTTTCAGAACCTCGTGACGCCAGCTCAGTTCCTGGTCCGATTGGCTGTCGGATTAATCAGAACCAGATCGTGGAGTTTAACAGGAAGCTGCTCACTGAGCCCGAACAATACCGGGCCTGTGCGGCCGGCGCTGCGGCCCGGTTTCCCAGGAGCCTCTCTGACCCACATACGGGTCGCAGCCTGCATGGCTCACGTTTCTGGTCCGCCGGGGATTGTCCCAAGAGACGAACTGGGTCGAACCGGACCGGCCGCCGTGATCCCTGGTTCTGGCTGGTTCTGATCAGCTGGTCCAAAACGGTTCAGCTCATAGCTTACCCTCTGGTTCTGCTCATTTGGAGTCGGCTCAGATCCAAACATTTCTGTGATGTAATTTAATCTGAATAAACTCGTTTATTTTGGCTCCATTAATCCCTGAGCAGCAAGAGAAAAACATAAATTCAGATAAATAAAGTTTATTCTTATTCACCTCTAAACAAAAAACCAGCAGAGCTGAAATATGGAAAAGCAGAAAAACACCCAGATTTATAAAATCATCATGTTTTAGTAAAGTTTTCACCAGATATTTTATCCGTTTCAGTTCAGGGTTAAATCAGTTATTTAATCTAGTTAAACTACCTGAAGCTCTTTGTTAAAGTTAATTTTATAATATTTAATATTCCTGTCGCCGTCTGTCGTTTCCATAGCGATTAGGTTTCTGGATCATTTATAATCAGTTATTTTTAAATTATTTTGTGTTTATATTACACTGTAGTGCGCACTGCTAATTAAAAGCTATGCTAACCCTGAAGCGCTAATCATAAACATTAGTTCTGCTAATGCTAAGATGCTAAATTGCTCATTTCAGCCATTGACTGATGCAGATCTGCTCCTGCCCTCAGTGAGCGGCCATGTTTTAACCAACATAGCGGACAGAGCAGCTGCTGCTTTGACCTTTAAGACCTGCAGCAGACCTTTAATCTAGATTCTGACATTTTAATCCCTGATGTCCCATTACGCTGTGACCTATGGTGTTGTGGCTCCGATGTGAAGGGTTCTGGTTCTGGTTCGGTCCTCTGCTTCTGGGATGGATTCTCTCTCAATAATCCAATATTTCTGATTTATGACCTTAAATCTGAAGTGCTTAGTTCAACCCTCAGGTCTAAAACACTTTAAAATAGGTAAATATTTATGATGTTTCTGTATTTGTTTGGTATAAAACTGGTGGGTTTCCTTCTGACCTCTGACCTCTTCACTACAGGATCCACCTGGATCCCTGCAGGTCTAATTTGGGCTCTGCGGATGTGGGATGCCCCTGCTGCTGTAATGGGAGCTGTGGGAGCCGCTGGCCGGGTCGGTGCTGGCCGGGTCAGCGCCGGCTCCGGTTACCGCCGGCTCGCCTTTCACTGTAAAGTTTACAGGAGCAGCTGAATTCGCGGCTGCAGGAAAACCGACGCCTGCAGAGCAAAGAGCCGCTGCGCTCTGCAGCAGCAGGACAAACACGAAGCAAAAATCAGCAGAAATCAGAGGAAATCTGCAGCCTTCACAGAACGGAGCTGTCCAGAAGAGAAGGTACTAAAACATTCCCCGAGTTCGGCTGAAGGACCAACCAGTTTAAAGGGAAACCAGTTCCAATGTTTGGAGAAATGTCCGGGGTGTCATTACTAAAGTTACAGTCAAAAATTAACAGCAATAATTTGGGTTATTTGGCCATAGAGGAATAAATGGGATTAATTTTTTTCAAACTAAATATTTCGCTTGGAACTAAAAACTTAACCAGATAAATAGTTTCCTTTAAACTAAACATTTAGTTTGAATCTAAGTATTTAGTAGCACACCTGCAGTCTGGAGCTAAATATTTAACTCCTAGCCAGCCATTTTGTTGAAAAGTTAAATATTTCAAACTCCATATTTAGCTAGTTCAGAGCTAACTGTTAGCTAACGTGGAAAATCCCTCCTGATAAGGGGAAGTGGACTGTCAAAATAAAAGCCTGCTAACTTCTACATCAACTCCTGCTGGTGAAGCCGAAACGCTTCAGTTTCTGTAGATGAATTAACATCTAGTTGGTAAAATGTAAACATTTAGCTCGCTAATTAAATATTTAAACTGTGACATTTATGAATGGATGAATCACATGGTGAACGTGTGACTGAATAATGAACACACATCGTTTCCTCTGAATAACCCAAATTGTAGCTGCCAACTGTTACAATCAGCTGACGTTCTCCTCAGCAGTTTGGCCAAATGATCCAAATCCGTCTAATCTGACTGAACTCCTGAACTGGACCACATGGCCGGTTCTGGTTCTGTTGAACAGGTTTGTCAGAGCAGCTGGTACCACCTGCTCTTCATCAGAGGCGGTTCTGATTCTCTGAGACTTTCCAGAACTTTCCTATCTCAAAGTTTTAATTCATCCTGATGAACTGAACCTCTCAGATTTCTGCCTCATAATCATCCAGAACCTTTTACTGGACGGGTTTCCATTCAGAACTTAACCCAACAGATTCCCTTATACCAGAACCTTCCTGTAGTTTGGACCCATATAAACGTTCTACTAGTACCAAAAACCCAATCTGTCCTGGTACCAGAGACAGCGCCCCCTGCTGCTGTTTCCATGGTAACGCTGCTATAAAACAGACCAAATGATCCCCGCCCCCTGTTGACCAACTACAGCTTAGCTACAGCAGCAGATAGCCTGCTGGTTACCATGGCAACATTAACCTTTAGTTTAGCTGAACCTCCTGCAGACCAGAGCAGAACCACAGAACCACCTCAGGTTCTTCCAGGCTAATTTGGTGGGAATAACTTTGATTTTAAGTAAATGGTAGAACTGTGATGGTTCTGACCCATAAACAGCTGATGATGCCGTTAGAACATTAAATAATCCAGATTAATAAATAAATTATAGAAATTAACTTTTCCAGGAGCGCTTCATGTCTCTCATCGCCACTGATGGTTCTGGTTCTCCTGACACCTTCAGAACATTTAAAGTCCAACATCAGTAGAACCTCAAGATGCCTGCATGAGGTTCTGACCTCTGACCTGCTGATCCAACAGGAAGGTGAGGACACCTGGGATGAGTTCAGCTTCACCTGCAGGTAACCTCCAGTGGTCGCTAGCTAAATGTTAGCTGTGCTAACGCTAATGCTCTGCTAGTAGAGGAAGTATGAAGCTAAACTCTGAGGGTCCGATGAAGGTCCTGGCCGGGTTCTACTGCAGGAAGAACCTGAAGATCAGCAGCAGCTTTTATTCTGATGGAGGTTTAATCTGGAATAATCTGGACCTTCAGCCAGCAGAACCTGAGCTGAACTGAACCATCACCAGTCCAGATCCAGGTCCAGGTTTTATTTACACCTCATCTCAGGAAACTGATCAGAGCTCAGAACAGACTGGACCTCACAGCCAGAACCAGAACCAGAACCGAGCTGCTGCTTCCCTCTGGATAAAAATATCCGGTCCAAATCAACCAGAACATGAGAGGCTTCGTAAGACACCAGTCCACAACAGAACCATCAGAACATCAGATCGGACCAATAAGAATGTCTTTATGACCAAACTGTTCTACTGGACCTATCAGAACCTTTCAGAAAACACTCATTTCTAACGACACAGGCTGCTACTGAGAGCTGGGACACTATGGGTGGAAAGTTCAGTGGAAGGAAAAAGTGTAAACTCAGCCATCTATCAGAACATTTTGAAGCTTTTCATGCTTTCTTCTGATGACAAGTTTTAAGGAGAAACTAATTTCAATTTCCAGCAGGACTTGGTACCAACCCATATTACAAACGGTACCAGTTTCTGCTTTAATCACCATGGCAACAGCAGCTAACAGGCCTGAACAGAGCCTTGTAGAGAATCTATGGACTGATGTCAAGAGGAAGAAAGACTGCAGAACCAAAGATGCAGAACACCTGAAGGCAGCTAGCAGTGGAGAACACACTTATGCACAAATTTGAAGTTTTAGTTATCAACTTAATAATTCTTCATGTAGTTGGGTATTTATATTCATGCTCTTATTTTGAAGTTTGTTGTTTCCTCTCCTTGCATTGGCTTATTTTATAAATGAACTGAACTGAACAAATAGCAAGTGCACAACAAATGAATGAATGAGTTAGCATTAGCATAACTGATGTTTATGATTAGCACTTTAGGGTTAGCTTAGCTAATTTCAGTTAGCCGAGCCAACCACTGGTGACTGTTAGAGCAACATGGGCTTCCAGAACCTCAGCAGAACCACACATCTGGATTAAAACCGTTTTTATTGTTCTGGTTTAATGTTCTAGAGTTTCCTTCCCAAGTCACCAACAGAAGCGCCCAGTAGAACCAGAACCAACAGAACCAGAGCAGACGTCAGCGCGGCCATGTCAGCATCTCCTCAGCAGATGTAGCAGTGAAGACAGAACCGGCTATTCAGAGACCGAGCTCTGGAAACATAAACCCGGTCCAGTTTTAGAAGCTGCAGCTCTGCTTTCAGGGGCCGTGGAGGCCATGGGGGTCCCCGGGAGGCCACTGGGGCCATGGGGGGCTACTGGGCCATGGGGGGCTACTGGGGCCATGAGGGGCCGCAGGGCTATGAGGGGGCTGTGGGGGCAGCCGGGCGGCCACTGGGGCCATGGAGGGCTACTGGGGCCATGAGGGGGCTGCGGGGGCAGCCGGGCGGCCACTGAGGGGCCACTGGGGCCATGGAGGATCGTCGAGGCCATTGGGGGCCACAGCAGCAGCCCCGACTCAGCAGCCAGTCATGGGCTGATGGGGAGCAACAAGCAGCTTCACTGTAACGTCTCTGATGATGAAACTGGAGCTGGAGGCTGATTGGTTCAGCAAAGAGTCTCAGTCCAACCAGAACCTCCCCATAAGTATTCACACCCTCCATAAATATTGGCATCCCTCTGCCTGATCGGACCCCTGCGGATCGGACCCCATGCTTACCCTGGAGACGGTCAGTGGCATGTTGAAGTCCTTGCCCCCCTGCAGCCTGAAGCCCCAGGGCCCGGGGCCTGCCAGGGTCACCGTGTAGCAGCTCATTCCTCCAGGCGGATCCTCGGCTCCGAACCGCAGAGACGCTCTGGAAGAGAGGAACCGTCTGAATGGACAGGCAGGAGGAAGGCTGAGGAAGACGAGGCGGCACGGCGCAGCGCTAAGAATAGCCGGGGATCGCAGCGCGGCATTGTGGGAGGGGGCGCGGGCCGGGAGGAGGGGTAGGACTTATATGGCGTGAAAGGAGAGACGGGGAATGCCAGGCTCGCCGTGATTCACCGGGTTAATATAGACCCTCAGATTCTTCCAGACCCCCAACCCCACCGGCTCTACAGGGTCTCCCACGGACACAATCAGGAGCCGGCAGGAAACGTCTCGTTATCTGGAGCTGATAGCGCCGAGAGGTCCGATAGGAAAAGGTCAGCAACAGGAGGCAAATACCTCACTGGGACCAGAACCACTGGGACCACAGCCAGTAGAACCAAACCCGTTCACTGGGACCTCTGGGACCAGAACCTACTGGGTCCAGTATGTCTTCTCAGTCAGCGCTGCCCAGCAGTAATCCCTGGCCTTGGTATGCTAGTTGTTAGCTAACATAAATTTGAATGCTAGCCTAGCCAAAGCTAACACTAGCCTATTCAATGCTAGTGCTAGCCTATCCATGCTAATGGCCACTAGGGGAAGCAGGAAGTCCAGTGGGAACCAGAACCTGGGGCACAAGAACCACCAAGGTTCTTCAACGACCCTCCATGTTCTTCCTGATCAATGTTCTCACCTGACGGGACGAAACTCTTAAACTACGCATTTATCCAAAAACGTTTAGCTAATCTGAACCGCCTGGTCCAGAAAACAGCACCAGGTCTCTGGAACCGTCTCCAGCAGTCAGTGGGTCAGAACCTGGACCTGTTTCCTGTCCATCAGACGGTTTGGCTCAGGAGATGCAGCAGCTTCTCAGGCGGCTTTATACCTGAATCTGGTTAATTTTAGGAATGATGACATCACTCCATCCCTGAGTCCAGAACCATCCAGAACCAGGAGCAGAAATGGATCCTCACCAGGATCCCTGTTGATCTCAGTCTGGATGACAATCATTAAAAGGACCTCTAATAACAGTTTTCCCAGATGCTAACCCCAACCTGGATCATGGATATAGCATGTAGCCTGTAACCTGTAGCATGTAGCCTGTAACCTATAGACTGTAGCATGTAGCATGTAGCCTGTAGCATGTAGCCTGTAGCCTGTAGCATGTAGCCTGTTGTTCAGGGCGGGGAGGCTGATCCCAGAGCAGCTGGTTCTGCTCAGCGTCGAATGTCACCGACTAAGTTTAGAGAGGAATCTGACAGAGACGCTGCTGAGCCTCTGCAGGCTCCGGATCCATCCTTCCTCCTGGGCTCCTCCCAATCGGACCAACCTGTGGACCCCAACAGAGATCCAGATCAACGGTTCTGCAGAACCGGGCCAGCCTCTGAAGGGAAACCACAGAGAGCATCAGGCAGCCTGGAGAGCAACTGCTCGATTCATCCATCAGGTGTACCTAATAAAGTGGCCCCGTCTGAAAGGTCAGACTGGCTGGTAAATGGAGCGTCCCCTCAGGCTCAGGCTGAGTAAAGGTCAGTTCTGCATCAGCCTGACGGAACCAGAGGAACTGGACCAGAACCAGCAGAGCAGCTGACTGGAGAAATGTGTTCAGTCTCTGAACTAAAAGCTGCAGCCTGTCATAGAAACAGGCTGATGACTTTCCACCTGAACCAGGTAACCCCGCCCCCCGCTCTCAGCTCCGCCCTGCAGGGCCGCCCTGTGCACAGAAACCAGCAAACACCCCGAAATCAACCCGTACCTGTCGGGGAGAGCCCAGACCCGGAGAACAGCTCCGTCCGGTTCCGACAGCAACTGTCGGCTCAGCAGGGGGAGGCAGCCGCGGTGACCCGGGGGAGGGAGCAGCGAGGCGGCCGCCCGCCTCGCTGCTGCTAGGGAGGAACGGTACCGTACCTGGCTGGGAGGACGGGTCCGCGGTGGTCCGGGATCCAGCTCCGGTCCCGTCCGGACTCCCTGCCACGGAGCGGAGGGAGACCGGAGGAGGGGGGGAGGGGGGAGGGGGGATTTTCATTAACGGGATTTTCATTTAAAGAGGCAGGAGCCTCAGAGCTACTGTAAACAACAACACACACACACACACACACACACACACACACACACACACACACACCGCCCACACAGCTTCATTAAAACACAAATCATACAGAATTAATTCTCAATATAAACACGCCATAAAGTTTTCATACGGAGTCCTGTAAGGGACATGGGGAAATCTTTTCTTTTGCGGTCGCAATATGTTTACTGCAATATTTGCTGGTCTACTTAGTAAACAGTCACAAATGTCAATTTAATATTTCAAACGTATACACATTTAAAGAGCCTCAGTGTTTATTCATAACTCTTTGGTGCAAAACACTGACTGGAAATTAATTTATTCCCTGCATGTTTATGTCTGTCAGGTTGGGATCAGACCAACACAAAGAGACTCGATCAAAACTGTCAGATGACTTATTACCCGCGATAATAACTCAGAAATAATCCAAATAGTCTGGATGCATTTTTTATTTCTTTCCTTCTTACGGAAAGTTTCTGTTTATATCGTAGGTTTGTGGTGAATTTCTGTTCGAAAGAAAAAGATATAAAACTTCAGATATTCCTTAATGCATAGTGGTGGTCACTACAGTGGACAGTTATCTAAAAGCCATTTTCTTGAGCTTCTTGTGGATTTTTATGTTATAAATGCACACAGACAACTGAAGTGGACACTAGTGCATCATAAAATACACCATCAACTACTGGCCATCAGCAGCAAATGCAAGAAACTATTTTTGTTAAATCCAACATGGCCGACCCAGGTGAAAAAAACATTGTTACATCAGATAACCCCTAAAGAACAATACTACGGGCTAAGATTGATGGAAAAACCTCATGAAAGCCTCAGGTTACAGCAGAAAGAACGATGGGCTGACAGGACGGAACCCTCATGTCCCTTACGGGGCGCCGTATATCTAAAATATTCAAACTGATTCAAATCAGCCCATTTATTAGTTTGTTAGCTAATTAGTTTATAATTAAATTAGGGAATGTACTCACTTATTTAGTTATTTATTAGTTTAATGTTTGTTAATTTATTAACTTATCTAGTTAATTTAGTTATCAGTATATTCATTTTGTTAGATACTTTTTAAGTTGTGTATTCATTTATTAATATTCACTTTACTTATTTACAAATAAAGAAATATATTTTTTGCCTTTTTTCATGATTCTCTGGGCCAACTGAGGTTCTTAAGGAACCAAAATGTTTTCATGGATCATTCAGGTAGAAGAAGTTTTATGTTATCAACCCAGAACAGACGAGTTCTGCAGAACCAGCCAGAAAAACCAGATAAAACATGATTTTAAAAACTTAAAGAGCTGAAAACCAGGATCTGATCTGAAGGATCCATGAGAACCAGACCGGAGAGACGTTCTCTCCGGTCTGGTTCTCCTGGTCTTAACGGATCGTTTCTCAGCTGGTGTAGGAACATTTTCTATGTTCATTAACAGCAGGAGAGGGAGAACGGTTAGGTGATGGCAGCATCATGCCGCTGAAGCCCGCCTCCAGGGAGGAGGCAGCCAATCAGAACGCAGACCAGGTGGATCCCGATGGAGAGAAAACAACTGAGAAAACTAAAAGCTAACAGCTGAAATAACAGGAAAGCCGGTCAGTTTGTCGTCCAGCAGCAGTTCAGAAGCAAACCATCAGATTCATCAAGAAGGAAAGTTTTTAGGCTCAAATCTCTGAAAAACCCCTGGATCATGCAGATAAAACAAAGAATCCTTACATGAAGGAACTAAGCACATCATTAGCGCCTAAAGGAAGCTTTGAGCACAACTACATCCAATCAGCATTTATCTGTTATTCCCAGGACAAATGAGCCTCCGAGGGCAGGCGTCCTGTCACACACACGGAAAGATAAAACACATGTCAGGGTCAGTGCCGTCGGCCGGCTGGATGCTGGATGGGTTTTTCCTTTATGGATGGTTTGTGGAATTTAAAAATGTCATTGCTATGCTATTTTTATTTTAGTTTGTAAAAGTTACAGTTTCATCATTGACTTCTTCAAGAGACCTTAATAAAGCATTTCATACAAATATTTGATGATGGAGGGTTTTTTAAAAAGTTAGCACAAAGATAAACTAAAGCTGTGGATGCATGTGGCGACGGTGGAAAGGAAAAACTTCAACAGGAAGACTATCCATAAAAAGCACTGTACCAAACATGACCTCTGTGACCTCTGACCTGCAGCTCCAGCAGATCTCTCTGTTGATCGTCCAGAAGGAATGAGGCCGTGAGTTATTTCCACAAAATAAATCAGTTCTCATGTTTAATTTTAAAATGTTGTTGAAGGTAAATAAAATTGGTTTACTGGATTATTAAAGTGTGGACACCCATTTTAAAATATTTATTTTTAATTTAAACTAAATATTAAGTAAGCACAAAAGGTATTCTGTTATTTAAATTCTGAAGGTTTTCATTGGAATGCAGTTGAAAGGCCTTATTTTGAGAGACAGCAGGCGCAAATCGTGACACCGCACCTACTAATGGCACTTCCGGTGGCAGGTGTGACACCTGCCACAAGTGCCACTGTTTTCGGGTCTAGCTGTCAGTGCTGCCACTGCGTTCAGCTGACCTCGGCACCTTCCAAGGGTTTCCACGACCTAA